GGGCGGCGGCCGGGTCCCGGGGTCCGGCGGCGGCGGCGGGGAGGTCCGGCGGTTGTGGTCACGACGGCCGCTGCCGACGTTGGCGACGCGTGGGCGTGGGCGGGGCCGGCGGCCTGTAGCGCGGCCACCTGGGCCTTGAGGTCCTCTTTCTCCTTGGTCTCCCTGTCGATGTTCTCCCTGGCCTCCTCGAGCTTGCGCCGCGACTCCTCCTCCTTCTCCTCGAGGGCGCGCTCGAACTGCTCCTCCCTGGTCCGCATGTCGCGCTCGAGCTGGATCGCGCGCTCGCCGGCCTCGCCGATCTTGGCCAGCCACCTCTGGGCCTCCTCGGCGCCCTTCTCCTGGAGGCTCTTGAGCTCGTCGTGCAGCCGAGCCCTCTCCACCTCCCACTCCCTCTCGTTCTCGAGCTGCTCCTCCAGGCGCGTCTTGAGGGTCAGGATCTCGGCCTCCTGTTTCTGCTGGCGTCTTCATAGTAAGCTCGGCATTGTTGCTCTGTATTGTGGGCCACAAACAGGGACGATTGGTTGGTCAGTCGAGAGCCAACGTTGAGCTGTAATAGATGCGCCGCGCATTGGTACCGTAGACAAGGAGCTGCTTGGTTTGATTCATGTCGTCTTCGAGTCGCTTCTTGATCCCCTCCAGCTCGGTCTCGAACACCTGCTTGGCCTGCTCGAGCGCGGTCGAGGGCGAAATGCCTTGCGCTTGCAACGCAAACAGCTAACGAACGCCGGCATGACACGACGACGCGGCTCGGGGTCAGTGTGCAGTTGCATGCGCGCCACCAACATGAACCAACCGTAGGGTTGCCACGTGCGTAGTACCTCGGCTCGCATCTGGGCCATTTGGTTCTCGATTTGGATTTTCTCATCCTGGAGCTGACTTCTGTACTCTCGCTCGTAGGTGAGCTCCTGCTCCTTTCGCTGGACCACTGCTTCATGCTTCTCCATCAGCTCCAGCACCTCGGCGTCACGCCTTTTGGAAAGCAACGTCAGCACAGAACCACATTTCATTCCAGAGCGCGCGCACACGCACACACCCCATTTCGCACTACACGTACCGCTTGGTGTGCGATTCGGTCTCGGAAGACTTCGAGGAGAGCTGCGCCTTGAGCTCCCCCAGCTCGTACTCCGAAATCCTACGCAACGAAGTCGTACACATGTGAGATTGATTGGCATGGCACTACACGCCGCACTACACCGCACGCAAGGGTACCGTAGTCGCTGCGTGATCTGTGTGTTCTCCATCTCAAACTGTGATCTGCTCTTCCTTTCGTCCTGCAGCTGCTGGAACAGGTGCAGGTTGTCTGCAATGGTAATGGGGCAGCGACGAACAGCGTGAGGACCAGTTCTGCAGAGAGCTAGGTGAAGGCGATGGCACCATCTTGAAGCTTCTGTGCTTGCGCGGCGGCAGTCTCCTTGCTCTTGACCCACGTTTCCCGGTCTCTGAGCAACGCTTCCTTTTCCCTGGCCAGCGTCTCCCGCTCCCTGAGCCAGCTCTGCTTCTCGCTGGCCAACAGCTCCTTCTCTTTGACCAACTGCAGATAGTCGGGGGCTGTCGTATATGTCGATATGTGCGGCGGTGCCAACGTCAGTCGCCCAGTGAAATGTTGAGCAGTGGAGAGCGGCGTTGGCGTACTGGCGGCAATGCTGCCCGAAGCGTTCATGAGGACAGTTTTCCTCTTTTCGTCATCCCGTCTCTTCTTCCGTTCCTCTTCCTTCTTCTGTTTGTCGGTTACCTCTGTGGCCATCAAAACCGCCATCAGTGTCGTTGCGTGCGGTGGTGCGTGTGCGGTAGTGTGTGTGTGACGCACTTGCGGGAGCGGCGGCTGCAGCAGGGGTGGACGGAACGGGCACGAGGGCATCCGAAGCCATGGCGAAGAGCATCTGGGCCTCCTTCTTCGTGATGCCGTGGGCGCCCAGCGACTTGAGAGTGTCGTTGAGGCCTTTGAACAAGGCCTCCCACTCTGGTGGCAGGTTACGTATCTGGCGGCACGAAGCACCACACCAACCACCTCAGTCAGTCCGTCAGGTGATCACAACCATCACTACAGCCACTTCGTGTGTGCGCGGTGGTGCACAGCGACTTACCTCGAAGCCATTCTTGCGATCAAAGCCCATGTGCCCTACGCGAAACACGTAAATGTAAAACAATATATTTATAAATGAAATGAAATGAAATTCAAATAAAAGGGAACCCGAACCGAGGTGTTGCGCGTTGGTAGGGCCGGAAAGGACGAACTCCTCCGTGGCACCCCCCCTTGCTCTTGCCCTTCTTTGCATCCTTGCGCTTGCCCTCTGCCTTCTTGTCCGACTTGCTCTTGCGCGGCGAGGGCAGGTCGCTGCCGCCACGCGCCTCCTTCTTCATCGCGAGCTTCCCTAAGATGCTGCTCATCTTGAACTACTACCCTCTACTCTAATCGTTCTTCCTTCTAATTGAGCAGCCCTTGCACGTCGTGCAAGCTAACGGTTCCAACTGGCTCTAATCTTCGGTTGCTTTGCCAAAATCAAAGAAATTCTTGCCGATCTGCGAAATGGGCGCGGTAAATCGAGGGAGTTCTCGCAACGCCGAGGCAACAGAGTTCTCCTTCCTCTCTTCAAGCAGGCCCCTGTCGTTCTCGAAAGGCAAGTGTTCCTTTTCGATCTCCCTGAAACGGACCGTTTGCCACCTCAACCGCCATGTCGACAGAAACAAAGATGGGGGGTACGAGTCCCATGCCAGGCAACATAAACCTGTTTTCATTCTACAATATTATTTAAATAAAAGTTAGAAGAAATAATTGCGATCTGGATAAAGTTCGTCGCCGGTGTCGGTTTGCTTCGGCGAACTCTGGTATTGGGGAGAGTATGATTGGTAGGCACCATAATTGTCGGGCTGGGCGGATTTTTCTGTCGAGCCCTCTCTCCGCACACCCCGCTACAAACTTCTCCGGGGCCGTCTTTTGTTTCTTCGTTCGTTCCGACCACAACCAAACCAAGCGACCTCCGCGTCTTCTTCAAACCAACACAACCATGTCTGACTGGGAGACCGGCCTCTGCGAATGCTTCTCTGACTGTACCTCCTCCCTCTCCCCGCGCCGCCCCCTTCCCAACAACATTATTTTTTTTTATAAAAAAAGAATCAAAATAAGAAGGAACAAAAAAGTGCCTAATAATAATATTTTATATATAGAAATAAATGATGGGCTATAAATGACTTCCGGAAGGTTAATAATAATCTGTTCTCTGTTCCTGCAGTCCCGACCTGTCTGTCGGCCTACTTCTGCGGCTGCTTCGACGTTGCGTACCACTACGCCGCCGCTGAGGACCGCGAGTGCGGCGTCGTCGACGGCCTCCTCGCCTACTGCTTCTTCCCCTGCTGCGCCTGCATTGCTCGGTACCTCATTCCCAACCCCCTCCGTGATTGGCCGCCTCCTGTTTTATTGTGTCAAAAACCGGTTTTGTCTCTCAACGTTGCCTAACCTATGTTGTCGACATGCAACACCTCCACCCACCCAACAACAAACAACACCAACACTTGTTATTACACAACACAGCGGTAAGATCAGGGAGAAGTACAACATCTCTGGCAGCTTCCTGGGCGACGTCCTGGCCGTGTGGTGCTGTGGCTGCTGCGCCGTCTCCCAGCAGTCGAGGGAGCTCAAGCACAAGGGTGTCAGCAAGTACTCCTGCTTCTAAAAGTTGAACCTTGTCTCCTTCTCCCTCTTCTTCGCCACGACCTCCTGCTGTTCGCCCGCTTCTTTGCTGGTGGGTGACCGCCACAACAAGCAACCAACATCCAATGTAACACTTTTACTCCCTATCTCCTTTTCCAGTCCTCCACATCACAACATTTAATTTTTATTTCGCGCTTGCTTTTTTCTTTTAATTTTTCAAGCTCCTCGTCTTAGCGAGGGTCTTCTCGTTGGCACAAACCTGACGGCTGGCGCCAGTACGTGCTGGAGGCTGCCGACTACCACCTCGGCGGTTCGGGTACTACCTGTCACCTGAGTTGCCGTGATTAGGTGCCGCCGCTCGCTGATGGTTGTGTGGTGACCCAGGAGGGTCGATTGCCGGCAGCAGCATGTACGCCCACGCGCCCGCCACAACAGAGGCGGGGATGCGGGCTGCTTACTCCAGCGTTTCCCGCGAGCTGCGGCCCACCGCATCGTGGCCGTCCCGCTCGACCAGTACCAGAAGCACGGCGCCACCGGCTACCTCTCCTCGCTCGCCTCTGGTACTCACCACCAGCACCACCGCCACCGCCAGCCGGGCGTCACCGAGTCGGATCTTTGCGAGTGGCGACGATGACGACGACTACAACTCGCGCAGCATCGAGGAGGGCGACACCCTGGCGTCGCAGGTCGGCGGCGCGTTCTACTACGGCGCCTCGGTACTGGGCGTACCCGTTCGCCGGCGTCGGCCTTCACCCGCCGCTACGTCTCGGCGCGCTACGATGACAACAGCACTGATGACAGCGACGTCTGAGGCTGCGCCCAAACGCGAGGCGTGTAAATTGTATTTATTTCTATTTCTCTTTTGGCCGAAGTCGTACTCTCGTTTCTTCGAGCGAAGGTGGGAGAGTTACAAACTCGAACTTTCGGACAAACACGGCACGGTACAAAAGGCGCAGCTTTTTCGGTCTTCACTTTACTCCCAACAAGCAACACCAAGAAGCCAAACAACAAGCAATGACTCGTACTACGTTCCTCCTGCTGATGGTCGCCTTCGCTCTGTACCTATCGCAGCCGGCCCACAGCGCTGGCGGAGGCGGGTGGCCCAACTGGGGCAACGGCATCAGCAACAACCACCGCGCAGTCGATGAAACCTGCATCCGCCAGTCGAATGTGCACCAGCTGACGCCTAAGTGGAAGCTCGACGTGCCCTCGGACGTCACCGCGGTCGCCCACCGTCGTCGGCCGACGGCCGCTGGGTCTACTTCCCCGACTCGGAACGGCAACGTGTGGTGCGTGTCGG